CCCCAGGAGGCGGGCAGCTGCCCGGCCGGCTCCCTGGCCCGTGCCTTGTTAGCCCGACACGAGTCCATGCATGCCAGCTCCTCTCTGCCCGGCCCACAGGCACCGGCCACAGGGGCACGCCAAGGATTTCCCATCAGAAGCAAGACCCGAGACCATTTCAGAACAAAAAACATGTCAAGCATTGAAAACGTTCTTAGGTACTTAAAAGGATGATTTTGCTTTGTTTTACTGTTTTAAAACATATATTTTTATTGATTTCAGAGAGGAGGAGGAGGGAGAGAGAGAGGTAGAGAGACAGAGAGAAAGAGAGAGAGAGAGAGAGAGAGAGAGAGAGAGATACATCAGTGATGAGAGAGACTCATTGATCGGCTGCCTCCTGCACGCCCCCTACTGGGGATCGAGCCCCCAACCTGGGCATGTGCCCTGACCTGGTTGGTGGGTCGACACTCACCCACTGAGCCAGGCCACGTGACTTGTTTTACTTTTTAACTCTGGGACTTACCAGTATGATGGTGTCTCTCACAGAATAAAACTTTGAAGTCCCCCTACTGGGGATCGAGCCCCCAACCCGGGCCTGTGCCCTGACCTGGTTCGTGGGTCGACACTCACCCACTGAACCAGGCCACGTGGCTTGTTTTGCTTTTTAACTCTGGGACTTACCTTTGATGGTGTCTCTCACAGAATAAAACTTTGAAGTATGTGTCTAGGGCGCAAGTGACGCCCGGAAGTAGAAGAAGACAAATTTGAAGAAATCACAGTGCCCTCTATTACGATGCACCCGCCTTCTTTACTTATGGAGAAGAGAAGGAAGTTTCCTGAGGTTATATTGTTAAATTGTCTTCGACTGATACAATGTTAATTGTCTCAAATTATGTCATTATTGACCCTAAGAGTTTCTCTGGCGTCTTTGAAAAGAATGCCTGGCATATTGATTAGTCCGCGGCAGCAAATTCTCGAGAAGAGAACCCCCACGTAAAATGCGCTTCCGCTTCACACACTATCCTGGCTGAATCGTTCTAGACGGCAGTGTGCTGAGATGTGGCTGCTTCAGCGGAAGGACTGCCTGACAGGCTGAGGTCATATCGTATTGCTTTCTTTCACCAGTTGTAGAAGTTACTTCCGTTCCTAGAACTCCAGTTCGACACACTCCACCAGTTCTAGACGTTGATATCCATGATAAAGGTCACTAAAGCTTTCACTGCACAAAATAGAGAGAAGTAGGCGTGTTTTTAAAAAATAGACTTTATGTTATTATTATTTTTAAATGTATTATATTGTTTTTCAGAGAGAAAGGAAGGGAGAGTGATAGAGAGAGAAACATCCATGAGAGAGAAACGTCACCAATCTGCTGCCTCTTGCATGCCCCCTGCTGGGTGTCAAGCCCGCAACCCGGGCATGTGCCCTGACCAGGAATCAAACCCGGTGACCTCTTGGTTCCTGGGTTGATGCTAAACCAATGAGCCAGACCGGCTGGGCAGACATTTTAAACAAATGTTTTAGTATGAGGCAGCCCCCAGCTCTCCACAGGCACCAGATCAAAGTGCCCAGATACTAAGCTGCCCGATTGCCCCAGACACCAGGAAAGGACCGCGGGCAGGGAGGGCGTCCGTTTCACTCCCGCTGGCAGCGCACGTCTCGGGCGCTAATGACACATCAGTGTTTCAAGCCATGCTTTGCAGGAATCACTCTGAAAAGCAAAAGTGTCCCCATCACACCCTCCCACCGTGGACTGAAGAGGCGCGAAGCGGGTTGCTCACGCTCAGCTGATGTTTGAGGCAGGCCACGTGCCCCCGAGGGCTGGGCCTGTGAGAGGGAGCCCCCCCCCCCACGCCTGCTCCCTGCAGCAGCACCCAACCCCCTCAGGGAGCCATGCCCGAGTGCAGCCCACATAAGGAAGACCCTTCTCGCTGCCGGCGGGGACACCGTTCCTGTGGAATAAAGCGCATCCCCTGAAAGTACAGATGCAGGGCTCAGCCACCAGACCCAGCGCCGTTCCTCTGCCTTGGGGTTCAATATGCGATCACCGCGTGCGTGTGACGTGTTCGTTCAGATTATCCCAATGTTTTCCAGTATTCTGGGTTTCATGAGGGCACCACTCTAGTCCACATATCTCTGAATGGGTCTCTTTTATGTTCCGGCGCCGTAACTCACGTGGGAAAAGGCGTGTGTACGGATTAATGAATTAGAACATCGGGTACAATTATGCCATCACGGAGGCGCAGCTATCGGCCTGGGGAAGGAACGGCAGGCATGCTTGCTTTGGAAGAGGAAGTCGATGTTCACATTTGATTTCTAGTCAACGTAGGAGCAGCTACACGGTCCACACTTTTTCGTTAGAGAGAGACCGTGGTCCTGCTGGTGAGCTGGGCGGTTGCCCCTGTGTGTATCCCAGACCCTGTAACGGAGAGATGCTGAAATGCACGATTAATGAGTAATAAAAGGTAACTTGAAAATCAACTCAGAGGCTTTTTGTTTTTCCTTATAAAGGATTGTTCTGAATTAGTCCTCACCCCAAAGAACATTTAATCTCATCTACCACATATTTTTAAAATGTCCGTGTCTACAATACCCAATTCCACGCACATCAAAAGAACTTCACGCTCATTGGCAATATTTTAACCTTAACATTTTAAAAACTTTAGAAAAATCTTATCTGAAAATGTCATCAGTTTCAAATGCAAGTTAAGAGGTTTGAGATCCAAACATATTCTCTTATGAGTCTTCTTCTTATTTATTATTTTTAAATATATATTTTATTGATTTCAGAGAAGAAGGGAGAGGGAGAGGGAGAAGGAGATAGAAATATCAATGATGAGAGGGGAATCATTGATCGGCTGCCTGCTGCACACCCCCCACTGGGGATCGAGCACAACCCAGGCATGTGCCCTGAGCAGGAATTGAACCCTGATCTCCTGGTTTATAGGTCAATGCTCAACCACTGAGCCACGCCAGCTCAGCCAAATGAGGACTGCTGTAAAGATCAATGGATAGAAGGGGTGGTCGCTCTGCCCTCCTTAGGCTGGGAACGCCCCAGGGAAGGCCGTCTCTGGGAGGAAGCCCTGGGGCTCGGTCTCTAGGCTTTTCCAAGCACCGAGAGGCAGGTAGCTTCTCTAGGAGCGGGGCCCACACAGCCCGAGGCAAGGGTAGCTCAAGTCGGGGATCAGAGCAGCCACAGAGAAACCCTGAGAGGAGCCCGTGGGTCCTGGCCCCTGGCCTTAAACTGAGGAAGGCACTGCCCCACTCACTCCCGTGGCCGTGGCCGTGGTCATGGTGAGTGATGTGCCAACATCAGGAGTCTCAGTGGCCGACCCCGCCCTGTGGGGGGGTCTTGCCGGTTTCTCCTCCCGTCACTCACCCCGTGCTCCTCCTGAGGGGCACGCAGGGCAGAGGGGAGCCATGTAAGGAGGGTGGGTTACCTGTTTCCCCACAATTGGGGGTTGTTTAGACCTTTGTGCCAGTTAACGCCTTTCTGTCCTGGAACTAGGAGGACTCCTCTGTTCCTATTTATAGCAACGACCACCTGACTGTTGGCAAGAAAAATGCCTGTAAGTTACTGGGGTTGGTTTTTCCTGGAGGGCTGGGAAGAAGGAAGAGAACACTGATGTTGTGATAACAGTCAGAGTTCACTGCTCAGCCAAGCCAGGCCCCGCCCACCCGAAAACCACCCCCAGGGGCCAGGTGTCTGCCTGCAGGGGGGGAGGGGAGGTGGGGGGAAGGAGGGAGGGCTGCACTGCCCCCGTGAACTCTCCCCGCCCCGGCCACAGTGGGCTCGAGAAAGCGAAGTGCCTGCGTTCCTCCTCTTCCATAAAAGCGAGAGGAGAAGGAACCACGAATGGACTGCTTGGGTCTCGAAGGCCGTCCGGGAACCGGTGAACTCTCCCCGCCCCGGCCGCAGTGGGCTTGAGAAAGCAAAGTGCCTGCGTTCCTCCTCTTCCATAAAAGCGAGAGGAGAAGGAACCACGAATGGACTGCTTGGGTCTCGAAGGCCGTCCGGGAACCGGAACCGGAGCCATGAGCCAGCTGTGGAGGGAGCTGGGAGAGAATTGCAACACCTTTTTGTTTCACCGTCCCTGCACCCTAACGCCCCTCTCGGAACACAGCACTCGACGCCATTCCATGCTCAGAAAAGGGGGGCAGGAGTGACTTTCAGCCCTAAAATTCATGCATAAAACAGGTGTTCTTACCGGAAACATGGGCATTGCCTACCCCTTAAGAAATCTCCCTCCAGGCATTAAATTACCCCCCTTGAGATTTTCCCCATGTTGTTGTTTGATGTTATCAATGACAAGATTTGATTCTCAGCAAAGACAGGGGGGCTTTGGTGAAGACTCGGGATTGAATTTCTCTGACGAAGGGACACAGCACGTTTGGGCAGCATGAGTGGTCCCTCCGTTCCGGCCTGGACTGTTTTCTTGGTGCAGTGAAATCAGAACCGGAAAACCAAGGGGTCCGGCCGCCTGTCACCACCTGAGCCAACTCGGCAGAGACAGGGTTGGATCCTCTGTGAGCGTTTATCCCAGTCCTGCCGGCAAAAGGGGGAGCAGCAGGCCGCCCACAAACATCCGCTCTGCACCCCCCTAAGCCAGCTGCTAAAATGGGGTAGGACAAGGATTACATGGGGAAGCGGGGGTTACAGGCATGGGGAAGCAGGGGTTACAGGCATGGGGGAAGCAGGGGTTACAGGCACGGGGAAGCAGGGGTTACAGGCATGGGGAAGTAGACTATGCAGGCTGGATGGGGCTCCATTGTTTGGGCAACGATCTTCCCAGGAGAATGGACCGCATTCCAAGGTTGACTCCCAGGTCCCAGGGGCGTACACCTCCCGGGCGGGTCAGACTGTCCTTTCTTTAACCAACCCCACGCAATCATGGTTAGCAGAGCATGATGGACATTTCCCATAACCATAGCCAGTCCC